CGCCGAAAGATCGGAAGAAGCGTCGAGGGACCAATGACATGCCGGACAACTTGGTTAATTACTTAGGATTAATTATCTCGATCGAAGTTTTATTTTAAGTGTGCAGGATTAACTACGATGGAAGTAAGACATGCAGTAGGAGTTGCGCCAGAGTCAAGACAATGATCACATTGGGAGTTCGAGAGTTCGACGGAAGTTCAGACAGTCGTCGGATGTTCTGCGGGAACAAATCCGAGAAGTCCATAAGCTTGCCAAAGAAGCTCGTCGGAACTCGCCAAGTGAATCGTCTTAAGTCCAGGAGTTTGCCAGAAGTCCGCAGGAGCATCACCGAGGGTTCATCGGATGATCGACGGAAGTTCGCCGGAAGCTCGCCGGAAGAAGCGATTGACGCACCGGAGCAAGTTGCCGTAAATGTCTTAGGGAATATCATAGTTAGCACAATGATTAAGTTGGAAATGGGAGGTGATCCCATTAACTTAATCTTGGGGCAATTGGGCTCCTGAAAAACCTAAATTGGGCCGAATGGATCAACCCATTCGGACCCTGATTTCTGGCGGGAGGTGCAACCGCCCAAGCCAGGAGGTAGCACTGCCTGGGCTAAGTCTCCGAGCGAGACTGGGCGGTGCAACCGCCCCAGCCAGGAGGTAGCACCGCCTGGGCTTAGTCTCCAAGCGAGATTGGGCGGTTTAACCTCCCCTGACAGGAGGTGGCACCGCCTGGGCTCGGTCTCCGAGCACTGGCTGAGCGGTGCAACCGCCTTAGTCAGGAGGTTGCACCGCCTGAGCTCAGTCTTCGAGCTCTGGCAGGAGGTGCAACCGCCCCTGACAAGAGGTGGCACCGCCCAGAGGCTCAGTCTTTGAGCTCTGTCAGGCGGTGCAACCGCTCCAGTCAGGAGGTGCAACCGCCTGATCCTGGAATTCCAGGAATTGACAGTTTTGAGCTCCAAATTTGAACTGGGTTGGGGCCTATAAATACCCCACCCATTCAGCACTGAAAGGGTAAGAACTTACACCAAAAACTTGATCTTTTTCTATGATTCTTAGAGCTCAAAATTGTTGTAAATGCCAAAAGTTCTTCTCCCTCTGTTCTTCCAAGTTCTGAGTTGTAAAGAGAGGAGAGAAAATTCTATAAGGGTTGTCTCCTAAGCCCGTCAAAAGGAGTGAATCTGTAAAAGGGTGGTTGGCCTTCGCCTATTGAAGGAAGGCATCTAGTTGACGTCGGTGACCTCATCGGTGGAGGAAGCCAAAAGTGGAGTAGGTCAAGATTGACCGAACCACTCTAAATCTCGGTTTGCATTTACTTTGAGCATCTTATCTTTACTGCAAACCTCCTCAATAGCTTACTGCCTCTATGTTTTTACGAACGTGTTTCAAAGTTCAGTGCTTTCCGAATCGGGGTTTAAGACGCAAATCAGTTTTATCGTACGAACGTCGTATTTTAGTTTGCGCTTACGTTCTGATTTCCATTATAACTGCAAACTGCCTTTATATCTTTGCTGCATCTCTCCTAGTCAAAAGTTGAAGTGATTTACGAATCGACTTTCTTACCAAAATCACTTCTATCGAACGAACGTAGTTTTCGATTTTAATCACAGAAGGTTTTTCCGCTGCATTAATTCACCCCCCCCCCTCTTAGTACTCTTGATCCTAACCGTGCTCGCTTTGCCGATAGAAATGACAATACTTCGACCGATCCGTGAGTTCCCACGGATTTCTCATCGGGTTGGGGGTTCTGAGCTTTGTCTCTTATCTAGAGAAATATATCTGTTCGGGATGCATCCGAGGAGGGGAGTTGAGATGTCAATGCTGGCGGGTCGGGACGGTCCAATCTGCGCCTCGGTGCACTAGACTGTTGCCTACGGGACGGCTCCGCCCTAACCCTTTTGTGCTCGTCCCGCTTCTCGGCCATCCAGACCTCCGCCGCAATGAACTAGTTCGCCCGTTGGAGCATCTTCGGGACCGCAGTGGGGGGTCGTTCCACCAGGGACCAAAAGAATCTGGAAGGCCACAAGCCCATCATAAATGTCTGCATCAACAGAGAGGGATGAGCGTCCGGCAACCCCCGGATCTGCGTAGCAAAGCGATTCACAAAGTGGGAGAGGGGCTCATCCTCCCTTTGGTTGAGTCCGAGGAGCAGTGCCTTGGACAGCTTTGGTCGGGCATAGGCCAGGAAGTTAAGCTTGAAGTCTTTGATGAGCTAATCAAAGGAGGCGATCGTCCCAGTCTTCAGGCCGCTATACCATGCATGGGCCGGGCCTTTTAGAGTCATGGGAAATGCCTTTCACATCAAAGCGTCTGAGGTTCCATACAATGACATTTGGGCACGGAAAGCGGCTACATGTTCAGATGGATCGGTGGCGCCGTCATACACGTCAAGAGAGGGGAGCCGGAAGCTTGTGGGAACTATTTGATCTTGTATCTCGAGTATGAATGGAGACCCCTAGCGTGTGTCCACCCTGAGCTCTCCCTTTGACCTGCGAACCTCCTTCTGCACTTTGTTGAGCCACTGACTAACAAAGCACAGTTGGGCTCGCAGGGAGTCTGTTGAATCCGAAGATAACGCCTCGGGTTCCGGGTGGCCGCTCTAGTTTTCCACCGCCCGACCCTCGAGGGGGGCCGACCAGACACGAGGCGATAGAGGGAGCTCCGGAAGTGGCGTTTGAGCTCGAGCGGATGGCTCCTACCGCCGCAGTGGTTGAATCATAGGTGGGTGCGCCGGGTGAGAGACGAGCGGGATAATGGTCTGCACCATCCCCGTTAGAGTTCGGACTTGATGAGCGAGGTCCTAGAAGGCCTCGGACGACATGGCCGACGGGTCGGTTGGTATACCTTCAGGTGGCGATAAGCCCGGGTCATTAAATAACCGCCAATAGCACTCTGATGTCGCGGCGGGGTGCTCTTCTCGAGGTTGGTCATTTGGGGGGTGATCCCTCGTAGCCTCGATCAAGCGTGACCCTCCAGCAACGGGTTTGTCTAAGTCAATCTGTCGATCCCTCGACATTCAAGCCCTCCTTCTAGCGCCAAAATATTGGTGTCAACAACTTTAAGCTGTGGCCTTGGGGCCAACATGGCTGGGTTCGAGTCCGAATGATTAGGAATCTTCCTGAGCGACCCTTAAGACTGTTGAGGCGACCGATCGCAATGGTCCGATCGCGACGGGACAACCATTTCCTCTGGAAGGGAACTCCTCACCTGGGCACGCGGTGGGAGGTGCTCTGTCTTCATCCCTGCACATAGGTTGAGTCGGGAGGCTCGGCCCGACGCCTCCGATGATCAAGTTAGTTGATAGTCACAGGGGGTTTTTGTCTTTGTTTTCTTCTCCTTCTTTCTCCTCTTCTGAGCGCGAGGGTTTTTATAGGGAAGGTTACCGTTGCCTGATGTGCCCGCTTGTAGGGAGCAGGATCGTACTCCTGGTAACATCTGACACCGGTGTTGGCGTGGCGTGAAGGACCGGGCTCGCGCAGGATGTTAATGTGCCTCGGTCGGCGTTCCGATCAGTTTTGGGCAGGCGCTGTCAGGTCAACCGAGGCGCGAGGCATCATCCAGACGCAGCTGACGTTAACCCGCGTCCCATTGTCATTATTGCCCTCATCAATTATCATGTTTGCAAACATCATTCCAATCTACTTTCTATTTGGTGCCGAGCTATTGAATTAACTATTGAGAAAATTTATTTTTCCACCACCATATCTAAGGGGTACCAAAATTCCCCCTTTAGGTATTCCTCCCAAGAGATTCCTTTACAAGTTGAGGTTATTTTGGAGTGTGATTGATCATTCACCTCTTCTTTAGAGATGACAGGTGTTGGTTATATTACAGCGAGTTGCCAGGCAATCAAGGCTTCATCACCTTTTCATGCGGACTATATTGCATTATGGGAAGAAATGTCTCGTGCTATTCGGGAAGGCTTTATCAACCTTTGGATGAAATTAGACTCTCGACGACTAATAGCATGGCTCAAGAATATTTCTTCTAGAGCTTATCAAATTAGTAAATGAGGTTAAATGATCTTTCTTACCACTAGAGTTAAGACTGTGGAAGCTCATTTTTTAACCACTAGTGCTTGTTGTAATAATTTTTCCCATTCATGGGGAAATGTTACTCCGTTGTAGTTTTGCAATAGAAGTTTACTGTCTTTTGTGGATCCTCCAAAATGATTGAATAAGGTTTTTTTTTTTTTAAATGTGATGCCTATGGAGCACAAAAACATTAAATAAAAGGTGTTGATTTAGTATAATAGAAAATTTTCTTTTTTTAAAAATAAATAAATTTATGAAATAAAAAAGGGTGATTTAAAAAAAAATTTATTTATTTTTAGATATTTTTAATCATACTCCCTCTTTTATTCTTTTTCCCAAACAAACTTTATTTTGAAAATACCCCTCAAAAAATTTCATCAATTTTTTTAATCTATTTTTATCAATTTTAAACTGTTTTAGTATTTTCATTTAATTCATTTATATTTTTAAATAACATTTATAATATTTTTATTCAGATATATATTATAAATATTATTAAAAAATATTATAAGTGATATTATATTGTGATTCTTTAGTGTTGTCATTGATCGTATATCATATTTTTAGATTTATAATTACTTTGTTTGATATTAGAAGCATTTAGAGTATTTATAGTATAACAAGTTAAATTTCTATTTTTTTTATTTAGATAATATTATTTTTAAATTATTATAAATATTTATTTGAATCATATCATGAATACCAAATAAATGGTTTCTAGTATATTTTGATTTTATTTAACTCATTTATAGTGTTTTTAAATATATTTTATAAGATTTTTATTGTGATAATCAAAATAGTAGACCAAAAACACTATAATTAGGTCAAAATACTGTGACAAGTAAAAACAATTTAAGAGATAATTTTTTAATTAACAAAATATTTTTTTAAAAATAAAAAGTTATCGATTCGAAAATATCTAAAATATAAATTCTTTTTAAAAAGTCGTCCATAAGAAAACATTAAATAAAAGGTGGCGATTTTGGAAAAAAAAAAGCTTGACACGAAATTCTAGCGTTTGATTTGGGTTCCGTTTTAATGTATGTAGAGGGTCCCTGTCGCAACTCCCACCACTCGACGTGAGCGACACGAGACTTGGCCTACTTTTCTTTTCCCCTCTTATTCACGAAGCTTCAAAGTCCCCTCCAGATTTAGACCTTCTTCTTCCCGTCACACTGCCATGGCCTCCTCCGGCAGCAGCGGATGCCCCACCCAGCCACACGTGGCGTTCGTCGCATTCCCCTTCGGCACCCACGCCGCTCCGCTCTTCGCCCTAGCCCGCGCCGTCGCTTCCGCGGCACCCGGCACGGCCGTGTCATTCCTCAGCACCGCCCGGTCCCTCGCGTCCCTCCCCCGCGCCGAGGGGCTCGGAAACATCCGTCTGGTCCCTGTGGCCGACGGGAGGCCTGAAGGCGCAGCGGAGGTGCCGCCGCCGGGGGGCATCGAGGAGATGATAGGGATGTTCCTGGCGGCGACGCCAGGGAACTTGCGGGAGGCGCTGGGCGCCGCGGCGGCCGGGGCTGGGGGAATCCCGGTGGGCTGCGTGGTGAGCGACGCGTTCATGTGGATGGCGGGAGACGTGGCGGAGGCGGCGGGCGCGCCGTGGGTCGTGTTGTGGACCGGCGGGCCCGCGGGGCTCGCCGCTCATCTCCACACCGATCTTCTACGCGACGCCATCGGTGTCGGGGAACGAGGTAACGTTTTTGACACGGTCCCTCGTGTCCAATTATTAATCCTAGTGACGTGGCACGGGCGTCACCGCGAGGCGATGATGGTCTTTGTATCCAAATTATTAATCCTAGTCACTGAAATAAAGATGCATGTCGCTCACTGAGCTCATTCTTTCTGTTTCGTGGTAGCCATGACCCGCTTTAAGGAGCAGCTTCACTCCATTCCCGTTCTCTCCGCTCACCGGGTCTGCGACCTTCCCGAGGGCATCGTCTTCGGCCCCCTCGACGC